TGTGCGTGCCCTGTAGGTGTCTCAATGCACCAGTCAGAGAGGTGGGATACCTGGAGGTCACAGAGTACATCAAGAGTCAAGGTCTACTGCAACAATCAGCTCTGTTTATGACACACACCTTTGTCAAGCTCCCCAGTTGTCTAAATAACAAGAAAATTGATCAGATAACAACAGCATCTTCCGGGCACAGAGCCTCTAAACCAGTTTGATTGCAAAAGCTGTGAAATTTTGAACCAGAATTCAATCTCTTTGAGTTCATATTCAGATTCAGAGGAGAGGATGGAAAAGGAGGAAGAGAAGAAATGATTGTCCTCACTGGAAAAAGGAAAAAGCTGTGTGAAGATGGAACTACTACAACTACTACAACTGGAATAACTTGAGGAGGTCTTGGTCACTTAAGAGCAACTGTTTAGAGTGAAATTTTGATAAAAGGTTTCTGTTAATATAGGAGTTTGCATTCATTATGGAGTGTTTTCTGCTCATTTACTTTTTGTGAGTTATCTGGTTATTAATTTTAAAACTACTGTGAAAAACTATTAACATCTAATGAGTCATATAAATGAAAATGATGAAGAGCTCTTGAGAGATTAATGTAGCATGTCTTACTGATAAGAAAAGAAATGAGAAACCCACAAGTGAGAGCTCGTTGCTCGCAGTTTCTTCCATTTAGTCCCCTGTTCCTTGGGCTAAATTTGTCCATAAAGACCTAAAATTTATGGTAGGATTGCTCAGCTTTTAAAAACATATGCAACTATTTCATCAAAGCTTTGGATTTGCTGGGCAGACTGCCAATGCTACAGCACATGCAAAGTGGAAGAGAAGTTAGTGTTTCAAAAGGTGCGTTGCAGAGTTACTCACTGACTCTTTCCTCTGCCCCGTTCCTGAAGAATCATAGACAGAAAAGTATGACTTAAGCTCAAAAGTGTTTTGCATGCTACCTTATAGTGCTAATTAAATGCAGATGGTATAAAAGAATGGTTGTTTACATGTCTAAATCTCATTCTCCTGCAGGCCCTGCAATTCCTGTTGGCGTGGATGTGCAGGTTGAAAGCTTGGACAGTATTTCTGAGGTTGATATGGTATGTAAGCCTTTTTTAAGCTTTGATTATTCCTAGTCATGAAAAATCTCTCCCATTTGAAACCCATAGTTTTCAAATGATTGGTCTTGAAAGTAAGGGCCGCATTCAGCAAATTAAGAGAGGTTGATATTCAGAACTAAAGACTGAATTAGCCACAATGATGATCAGAGAGTTATCCCTCCATCCTCAGATATAGAAACTTCCAGCTTCAAAGGGGAAAAAAAAACCTTGAACATAAAATGGGAGAATAATCAGTGTTATGTAGGATATATTACAACCAAAACCATAAAGAGTTGCATGCCTTTCATTACATCTCTCAGGGAATCCTCTTTGGTTTGCTTATGGAGGTTTGAAGGTGTGTGTTGAAGTTCACAGAAGTCCTGCTTATTACAAGTGTTTTCTTCTTTCGGGAACCATTGAGTCCATTTGTTTAAATGCATGCTTAAAGGAGACACTTTAGCAAAACAAGCTGGCATCATAAATGAGAACTAGCTCCTCTCTACCCCTTCATCACTGGAGGTAATCTCTCTAATTCAGTGCTGAGGCATACAACGGGGAACAGTCAAGGTGACTTTGAACTACCCCTACCAAAGGCGAATTTGGTTTCCATTAGGAAACCATTTCCATTTGGGAACCATTTTTCCATCATTGATGTAGTTCAAGAAATTTGAACTAACTTGGATTGTGATTTTCTTTATTTTTTACTTTTTCAAAAAAGGGGAAAACAAAGATGCAGGGGTTAACTCTCAACAGGTGTCAAGGTATTGTCAGTAAAAGGCGCATTTGCAAGCATTTTCCTGTTTCTTTTGACTATAGTAAATGGAATAAAAAGACTGGAAAGAGAAATGGAAAGGGGACCACAGAGAAGAGGAATCTTTTTGTTTCCATTCTCCTTTTGTCCTTTCTTCCTAGTTCTTCTTGAGCACCATCCCTGGAGGTGTCTAGGCAAAACATGAAGACTTAAAGGCAGACCTTTAGCTTAAGAGAATCTGCAGTTTGTAATGCATATTGTTTCTAGAACTGCTAAGTAATTTCTATGATAAGACTTTTAATGGGGAAACTCACTTTTCTCCTGCCACTGTTTCTTCTTTAAAAAAAAACAGGTAACAATTAGAAGAAAAAGCACTGATGCCATGGTAATTAAAAAACAACAACAACAAAAGGTTAGAGGGGATCTGCCAGCTATAGAGCAGTGTATAGTCTTTCTCTAGCAATAACTCAAATGCTGATTGGGTTTCCTGGAGTAAAATTGCATCTTCATTACAAGGACAGGGCTTGTCAGCCCAGATATTGAAAGGGAGGTTTTTGGGGGATGCATGTAATGAAGTGGGCGGGAGGGAGCTCTAAACACAGGAAAAGGCTGTTGTAAGGAGATTTGGGACTAATATTTCAAGATAATGTCATAGCAGCAAAGAGACCTAATTAGTGCAAATTAAGTAACTTGCCAGGCTTTCTCTCAGAAGCGTCTGATTTCAGCAGAAATCTTGCCTGTCAGAAAGTTTTGAGGTCAGCTCTCTTTCCTTGAGTTATAAATATCTCCACAATCCTATTTTCCCAGTGCAGGACAAGTAATTTCCAAAGCAGTTGCTGACTTGTATTCTGTGAGGGAAGAACTGGTCAGTCTGCGTTATGTTAGTTTGTTTTCCTGATGGTCTGTGCTAGCGTGGTGAGTAAGGCTTTGCGGAGGAGGGAGCCGGCTGCCCGGCCGGTGGGAGTGCTCCCCCTCACTGGTGGAGGGACCGCGGGGCTGCTTCGAATCGCTGCATGGGGTTAGTGCTCCTATAAATCACACACCTGCAGTCTGCCAGCCTTTACCTCTTTACTAAGGGCACCTGCCTGCCCCAAAGAAGTAACCAGACCAACTCGGGACCCGTTATGCTGCAAGACGGAGTGTGTGACTGAAAGCAGCCCGGGGACATTTAAAGCAACGTACTGTTAAAAATGGAACCTGTCTGGCACAGATGGTCTGCAGCTGCGCGCACCGGTTGGGAGTGCCATCGGGGTCTTAGCATGCTCCCAGCTATGCTGGGATGTAGTGTATGCACTTCAATGCCAGGCGCTTCTATTGACTCCTTTGCCGTGCCTCTGGCATATATTCTCATTCTCATATTGAATAGAAAACCTGTTTTCTAAGGAATTTCCTTTCCACAAATTGTGAAATAAACCCCTTTTCTCAATTTGTAGCTGGCTGTGTGCGTGGATCAGAAAGGAACAACCCATTAATGATTGCAAACTGCTTTTTTTGACTCATGCTGCAGGGAAACATCCATAAATTGAATTTTATACTTAAAAGCCGTTGTCAGCTGCCACTTTGGCTTGACGTTCGTTTGCAGCGAGTGGTTGTGCATTGGCTGTCAGAGGCCTATTTGGTGAAGCAGAGGTGCTGAGGGTGAGAGGAGAGGGCTCCTGCCCGGTGGGACCAGTCAAGGGGCCAGCTAGGAGCCAGAGTCCTTGCCTGCTGTCAGCACAGGCAGTCTCTATGCCCTCCCCGCTCCCTGACAGCAGCTACAGCTCGCTCGTGCATCCCTGACCAGTGCCGCACACGTCCTCTTGCCAAGGAAACCTTCCCATCTGTGAAGAACCAAAACAGAAAGTCAGATTAATAGACGGCTTGTTGTTGTCAAAGCAAAAATGAGGACTTGGTGGTGGTGGGTTTAAGAAAGGCTTGTTGAGTGCTAAGGAAGAGATCGTAGCCTGTGTTGCTGCCTGCCCAGACTTGGCAGCTGTAGCTGCCATAACCACTTGCTTAGCTGAGAGTATAAAGAAAAAGTGGATTTGATCTGTCACCATGAAAGAGTAGATTCAGCTCTGAAAGCTTCAGCGGCCAGGTTGGGATCAACAAACAGATGTTTTCCTTCGTGTGACTGAAGCTGCTGCCCCCCTAACAAGCTTAAAAGAGGGCTTTATTTATACACTTGTATAGTAGGCAAAACAGTTCTCTCACTTGCTGTTTGCAATAATTTAGTTCCTTTTTAGGATGAATTGCTTTGTGTTTAGCCTGATCATTAAGCTAATTTTGAAAGGATTTCCTTTCGAACCTGCTATCGATCGTATGGTTAACAGAATTTTGCCAGGATTCAAGAATCTTTCCTGTAGTGCAGCGCTTCTCTTGGGGCACGTTCGTGCCCCTTTCAGGACTGAACATAACTGGGTTCTGCAGTTCGTCCCGTGTAGGCAATTCAGGCTACAAAGCTGCCATATTGCATGAGGACCCTGCAGGGCTTGATGGGAAATGCTCCAGCACCTCCTCCTTGCTAGAGTGCTTGCACTATAGCTTATGATATGAGTGGATTGTGGATGCATGTTCTGCTTTGACTGGAAATTATTTTGTCAGCAAAATCCATTCCCAAAGAGTGTTGGTCTAGGAAAGAAACAGCATTTAGAAGGGGGTAGATTTCATCTACCTGGTAGCAGGTAGATGTGTCTGATGTGTCGTAGCTGTAAAATGCAATACTGACAGCCCTCTTTCTGGTTCTCTTCCTTTTTCATGAAGGATTTTACTATGACTTTGTACTTAAGGCACTACTGGAAGGATGAGCGCCTCTCGTTTCCCAGCATCACCAACAAGAGCATGACCTTCGACGGCAGGCTTGTGAAGAAGATCTGGGTGCCAGATGTCTTCTTCGTGCACTCCAAAAGATCGTTCATTCATGACACGACCACGGACAACATCATGCTGCGAGTGTTCCCTGACGGTCACGTACTCTACAGCATGAGGTAAAGACGCAGCCCTGTGGCTTGCGAGCACCCCCGGCTCTTCCCTGTGAATGCTGCTCTTGACGTCATTTTGGTGACCGCACAAACAGTTACAACCAACCCTGCTACTGCCACAGCTGAGCCTGGTACCAGATGCTTCACAGGAAGCTGCATGAAACCCTGCTGTGGGCAGTAATAGGATGATCTCCTCCCTGGGGAAGCGTACTCCTAACTCTTCGCAGTCAGAGGAGGGCTTAGTCGGTCAGGAGCGTTTGTCCCAGGGTCAGTGTGTGATTAAACTGGAAGCTGCTGATAAACCAGATGGTGACCTCTAGAATTATCCTATTTTGCTTCCTGTTTGTCTAGAAAAGCCTTTTTTTGTTGTTTTTGTGCATGTTGATATAAAGGTTTAAGTTTATTGACGCTGAAAGCACCGCTTTAAAGACACCCTGATTTTCTAACGTATTTGTTGGCTGAAACAATCCTGAGGCATTTCCCAGCAGATTTCATTTCCTTTAGAAGAATACAAAAGGAGATGTGGAGACTAACACACTGCCCGAGGAGAAAAGCTCAAGAGCCCATACAAAAAGATATTTTCCCAGGGCAGAAAACTTGCTCACAATTTACAGTGACTTTTGAATGTTGTATAGCACAAGGATTTCTGTTCTAGTATCTTTTTGGAAATTATTCACTTCAGTCATGATGAAATAATTCTCAAGAACTAGGAAAGTTTTTTTTAAAATAAAGTTTGATTTAGGAGACTATTTCTTTTTGAAGAATAAATATACTGGATGATATTGTCCTAGATAGGGCAATATCCCACTGAACTAGGGGTCTCTAATGTTCATTGGCTCTGTATTCCGAGTACAATTCTATTGAATTTATTAACAAATATACAAATTATTAAAACCACAAAATAAATGTGTGTGTGTAAGAATGTGAATATGTACCATATGGCCCCTTCATTTTGCCCAGTCTTAGTGATTTAGAAAATTCTATCTCGATCAAATGCTTAGGTACTCTTCCCCTGTTCTGAACCCATTTACTGAATTCATTTATTTTGTGAAAGGCCCAGTTACTCACACCTTAGCTAAGCAGCTAAAGATGCTATCCATTTTATTAGAGTTGGATTAGAAAGAAGGTACCACAGGGAAGCAGAGACAAGGACAGAAGAAAAACCCAGAGAGAGGTTCAGTGAAAGATTAGGTTGGTGCTGAGGGAAGAAGAGCAGGAGGTGGATAGAGACCTCCTTCGGAGATGTTGCTCAGAGAAACTAATCATCCATTTCCATTGCTAACATCCTACAATTCTCATGCACTGAAGCCAGCAGCATGCTACTCATTAGCAGTGTTCAACAGACAAAATGAAGGTTGAGTATTTTTAATGGCAAAGATTGGCTCTGTTCAATTCTGCCCATTTGCCCACATGCAGTTTATTTACTTTCACAGTTTTCTGTGAGTGATTAAACAGGTAATATGACTTTGTAGTCTTACCCCATGAGAAAAGTGTGTGAGTAACCTCAGCACATGAGTTAGATGGATAATTTGATTCCTTACTGTGAACTTAACAATTTAATAGGGAGAATGATAATGCGAGTGATATTTGGTCCTAGCAACATTCGGGACACTCAGAATATGATCCAGCTGCCTAAGCATAGATGTTTAGTGGCATTGGAACTGGGCTCGGGCATCTGAGCTATCTGCATGGGATTGGCACCCATTATGTGTTATGATGCAGACCTGATGGCAGACTGTGCCTTCTGGAGTGGCAGCTGGAGGTCAAACGAGATACCCTGATGTGCTGTGAGACACCTAGTTGTGAGCAACTCGGTGAAGCCTTTGGGGTGTCCTTCAGCTCCAAATCAAGTCACCTAAATGTGGATGTAAGTGATGTGCAAGATGCCTTACACTCCTCTTTAGTCATCAGAGACCTACACCTTGATTCAGTTGCCCACATGTGAGCACCTGATACCATTTGGGCTGTCCTTGAGTGTCTGAGATGTCCTCATGGGATTGAGGTGATATGACACAGGACCTATGGGCAACTGTACCCTTCTGGAGGGAGCAGGAGGCCAGGCAGATACCTTCAAAAGTTGCAAGATTGTCTGCCTGTGGGCCGCTGAATCAAGCCCCTTGCGAATACAGTCAATGGGACTAGATTTGGCTCACCCTGGGATGGACAGATGAACTTGTTCTCTAGGCTCTGCCCTATTGATTGTATTGATTTGATTGGTCTGATCTCTACTGATTAAAATGGGTATTCAGACCATTTTGTTAAAGCATTTTGTAGCACATGCAGGTTCTCTCAGGATATGTGTCTACCATACGCCTTGTGTTAGTAGTGTGAATGTAAGCAGACTGAAATGAGAGGTGTTTCATTCCTCGTGGGGGCCTCATGCTTTCAAGGCCACTGGAATAATTGCACTTTAACTGAAGATTGTTTTATTGGTGAGCTGAGTTTCTGTTCCTGAGTAATGAATTTTTAATGACTACAGGCTATGCTACAATTTAGGTGACCCTGAAGAAGGAAAATAGCACCAAGTTGTACAATGTTCAAATGCTACACAAAACTAGTCATTACTACAATGTACCTTCTGGGACATATTACCAAAAAGCTTCTTTAAATTTAGCTCATATGGAAAAATTCTGCTGTACGTTGTAGTCAAAGCCATGTGCTTTTTAGGGGTGATAGTACATAGGTCAGAGCAGCATTTGGATTACAATTCCTTGAACAGAAGAAAAGTTCTTTATCAACATCTGCAGTGAATCCAGAAAATGGTCACAGCCAATATAAGTGGGCCTCTGAAACGATGACTTACAGCTCATTTACCCCTTGGGAACTCCATTGCAAATATGTCCACAAGGGAAAGTTTACTGATCCTCTGGAAAACTTGTCACATAATGTTAGACTCAGATTTAAAAAATGAACCTGGAATTACTGCAGATCTTTAGCTAAGACTTGAATTTAACAGAGACAAATCTTGCTCCTTCAAGAATAGCTACACCCGTTTTCCACCTCCTGTCCTCAGTAATAAAAAACCCTTCCATATTAAAAGAATTTGCTCCAGCACTGAAAGAAGCCATTTTTGCCTTAATGTTGTATATACTGGAAGAATTTTCTGCCTTGCAATATGACTGGTTCATGGCTTAGGCTTTGGTCATTGTTGGGGTGACTATGGTGGGAACTGAACAAAGGGAAAAATGAAGAAACCTTTATCAAACCAGATATAGAGAAAGCTTCAAATGTAAGTGGAGAAGTTATTTTTTGAGTTGTTCCTTTTAGGGAAAAACTTGGATATAACAGAGAGTAGAAATATCAGTATTGTCATTAGTAATACTGTAATGTCCAAGGTAGTGCTTTAGTTCCTTGATAGGTATTGAGCTTACAGCTTCCTTTGGAGTTTTTGTGCGTAGTCCATCTCGCCTGGACTTGAATAATTGCTAGGTGTTTTCTTGGGTGCTTTATGCTAATGTTATGCATAATTGATGGGTTTAAAGCTGCAAAATGATTTATCTATATCAACATGCTCCCACCTTTGATCCTCATGGAAAACAACCTTTCTGTTTTTGGTTGTCTAGGATCACAGTGACAGCAATGTGCAACATGGACTTCAGTCGCTTTCCCTTGGATTCTCAGACATGTTCTCTGGAGCTGGAAAGCTGTATGTTATATCCCTCTTCCTAGCTAAATGCACTCCATAGCTGGCTGCACACACATAGGCTAACACGTTTCAGAATAGAGTCTATTTTAGTGCCTGAAGAAACGTTCACTGAAGTCACTGGGAGTCTTTCTATTGATTTACTGGGTGGTGTATCTGGCCTTTCTGGTATAAGACAGAGGGGAATCTGCAAGGAAAGCATTCTTGTATGAATTTTAGTAGATGGCATTTATAAAAAAAACCCACCATTGGAAGTGTTTAACATACGTTGTTTCCCAAGAGCTTGCGCATAAGAAACTTTGGGGTGAATTTTGCAGTGTTCATTGCTTATAGCTGGAAGGTGATGTTTTCAAATGTCACAGTAAAATGTTGAGTTTAATGATAGTTGTTTTCGGTTTCTCTAAATCTCATCATCGATGACCTTTACGTATGATCATCCTGATCCTGCAAACACTTTGACTTGTCCTTCTGATCTCAGCTTCTGTAATGGGAATTAACTGTCTGATGAAAAAATGCTTTGAACAATAAGATTCTCACATCTGTTCTGCAAACTTTCTCCAGGGTATTCCAAGACTAATGCCTAATCGTTTTGAAGTCCTCCTAGGTATTTAACTGAAATTTTCCTATACCAAAAAACCAGAATCACAGAAACATAGAATAGTTTACATTGAAGGGGACCTCTGGAGATCAGCTGGTCCAATTCCCTGCACAAAACAGAGACAACCTTCAATTTGAGTGGGTTGCTTAGGGCCATGTCCTATCAGGTTTTGAATATTGCCATGGTAATAAAGACTCCACAAGCTCTCTGTGCAGCCTGTTCAGATTTTTGACTGTCCTCATCATGAAGAAGTTTCCTTATACTTGTTTGGAAAATCCCTTGCTGGAGTTTGTGTCCGTTGTGTGTCGTCCTTTTGCTCTCCATCTCTAGAAAGAGTCTGGCTCCCTGTTCTCTATAACCCCCATTAAGACAGCAGCTGGATCCCACCGCAGACACTTTTTAATGCTGAATAAATCCAGCTGCTTTCCTCTTATGTTACGTGCTCCAGCCTCTAACCATCTTAACTGTCCTTTTTCCATTCCTCATTCCTATCATGCTATGTAGTCCTTCAAGTTTTGAGTTTTCAGTCTTCAAATGTTTCTAGACTGCTGCTTGAAATCATACCTGTCAGTTTTGCTTTTATCATTTTAAAATAGTTTAAGCTGTCTGTATTTCCCTCTTGCTCTAAATTCAGCCATTTTACCCATGGCTACTTCCTTTGAATTATGAGTCCATGCTGCAAATCAGTTAGCAATCCTTTGTCTATAATTTTTGGTATGTGATGCTCAGAAAAGCACCATTCCAGCAGTGGAATAAAGTGAGGATGCGTTTCCCTGAATCAGGATAATCTGATTTATTTTTGTGGCTATGGCACATCATTTGGCAAGATCTTTTCAAACCACTGTCTTTATCAAACTTTTCTGTTGCTTTACTACTTGCAGAAGATGCCTTTCTGTTTCTTAATTTTCTCTGGATCTGTTAACCATTTTTTTTCCTCCAAGCTAAAGCCAGGCTATATTGTGTTTCATCTTTCTGTAAGATGCTTACACTGATGAAGATCTGATGCTTTACTGGAAAAATGGGAATGAATCTCTGAAAACTGACGAGAAGATTTCTTTGTCTCAGTTTTTGATACAAAAATTCCATACTACATCAAGACTGGCTTTCTACAGCAGCACAGGTACTGGCCTTTTCTGTATTAACTACTATATTAACTATTGTTAATTTCTATATTAACAACATTTCTATATTAACTACTTGTGTGAGACTTCTTGTCTGACTTTGTTTGTGCTTGTCTTCTGTGGTATGACACTGAAATGTGATCTCCACTGTCTGGAGAGTACATGATGATCAGAAATATCATGAAAGATTGGTTTATCTTTTCTCCGCTCTTTAGAAATAAAAGATCAAAAGACTAGTATCTTACCATGCCAGCTATTCACACCGATCCTGGCTTTCCTCTCTCTAAGGTTGGTACAATCGCCTCTACATAAACTTCACCTTGCACCGACACATCTTCTTCTTCTTGCTCCAAACCTACTTCCCTGCCACTCTGATGGTCATGTTGTCCTGGGTGTCTTTCTGGATTGACCACAGAGCAGTACCTGCGAGAGTCTCTTTGGGTGAGTGCAACTAAAAAAAGCCAAACAAATGTTAAAATCTTTGAACGTTAAAGATTTGTCAGGAATGGAAATGGCCCATTTTGTTGGTTAAAGATACTGGAGAAGCAAATGTCTGTTTTATCAGATGATTAATATAGCGTAAAACTTGCAGTTTGTCTTAAGTCCTTCATCAAAGCGGTCCTCCTGATTGATATTTAGCTCATGGCAAAGAGCTCTCTTTTTATAAAGAAAGCCAGGCAGAAAAGAGAGATTCTAATATTTTTGAGTTAATGAATCAAGATTTCTCACTATTGTCCAATCCTGCAGTTCTGAGACAAACATTGCCATCAGTGAGGCTGGATTTTTATGAGTGTTTAGGGACCTACGGAGAGATATAGATTTTTGCTACAATTGCCGTGAGTGCCTAGGATTAGATCCAGAAAAGGATCTTGCTGTGTCCCAGCTGCCTGACTGGGTACCCCAGCCCAGGTATGTGTCTTCCCAACCAGCCAGCACCTCTGCTGTGGCCAGTCTCCTACTCCAGGGTGCCTGGAGGGAGTCAGCCTGGCACATCTTCACAAAGTTAGGGAAGAAAGGTGGCAGGGGATCAAACCCTATTAACATCTGCAAACCTAGATGCTCCTCAACCTATCACGCCTCTGGGGACAATCAGAGCACCTCTGATAAAAGGGTAAAGCCAGTATATTAGCCCTATAATTTGTCTCAGTCAGAGAGCTTTGCACTGCAGCACACATATGAGAAGAGGCAGCAAAGAGTCTACTTCACTGAAAGAAATGTGTTCAGTGAATGTTATTTAAAAAAAAAGCTGTTTAAAAGTGTAGAACAGTGTCTGTGCTTGCAGTGGTCACTAGTTTAAAATGGCTGAAGAAGCTACAAATGCTTCTCGGCTCCATTTTCTATATTTAAGAGGCTTTGGAAAATTGTGAATATTTTTCTCCCCATGACTATCCAGATGAAGTATGTATTATTTTGAATGATTGTATCTCTATATATCTAAATATATATATACATACACAAGCATATATATCCATATATCCATATCTATACATATATGTACGGGGAGAGAGAGAGAGAGAGAGGAATGCGTGCACGTGTGTACACACACACACACACACACACACACACACAAACAGTATAATGACTGTTCAAAACTTTTTGATTTCCGTGTCTTGAACTGTAGGTTCCTTGAGATTCCTTGAGATAAAAACATAAAACCTTCTTTTGCATTGTTTCATGTAAAACATTTCTGCAACCACATGGTATAGATTTTATCTTTGTTGCATGTCCCTTTTGAGGTCAGTGATGTAGAAGAAATCCTCTTTAGCTGTGACCAAAAGTCAATAACTACTCAGTTGCTTTCTGATGGTCCCAGTAACACAAATTGCTGCAGCTAGAAAACAATAGTCCTTTTCACCACAGGTATTAGTGGACCAGGCTCTCAGCACTGTGTTAAAGTAGAAAAAGTTGGCTAAAAGAAATCTGAGCAACTTCCTCAGTGGAGAGAGGAATCCTAAACCTGCAGGTTAAGGAGGGAGTTAAACACTAACCCAGGTGAAACGCTGCTCCATTGCTCATCAAAACTGAACCCATCATGTGCACAGAAGTGCAGGCAGTCGAGTGGTTTTATATTGGTAGGAGAGATACTTATCACTGAATGCATCATATTGAATATCTGTAAGCCAATACAGAGGACAATTGTGGGGCTTTTTGAGACAAAAACTCTACATTGATGGCCTTATGGATTGTATGAGCCAATGGCATTTGCTTCTCTTGTTTCTTGCCAGGGATAACCACCGTGCTGACCATGTCTACAATCATCACAGGAGTGAATGCCTCCATGCCCCGTGTTTCCTACATCAAAGCGGTGGACATCTACCTATGGGTCAGTTTTGTGTTTGTCTTTCTCTCGGTGCTGGAATACGCAGCAGTGAATTACCTGACTACAGTGCAAGAACGGAAGGAGAGGAAACTCCGGGAGAGGGTGAAAGAAGTTTTTATTTTGTTTACCCATGTATTCTTTTTTTCTTTTAACAGCTAATTGTCTCTATATTGGCTGTTTCATGTGTCTGTAAATAGGAAAACATGACATCCATGTGTGTATAATTCAATTTGTTTACACTGCTCAACCTGATGCTGAAGTGCTGATACCACAAAAACAGGTGTTGGACTCATGGGTCCTTGTAGAAACAGCAGAGGAGAGGAGAGCATGATCAGAACTGGGGAAGTCTGCAACCTGCGACTGTATGAGAATGATTAAAGAGGAAACATTAAATCTGATATTTCACTGTGGAGGCTACAACTATTATATTTTTAAGTAAAGGTACTACTCAGAGTGAACTACTGTCCCACCTCAATAGTCAGCTTCACTCTGGAAACTGGATTTAATGAAAGTGATAGTAGACTTATTTCCTGAAACCAAACACACGCAAAAGCCATTCAGCCAAGTTTATGTTTGTACTTTTTATCTGCTATGATAGGTCTTATCCTGCATCCTTGGAGGTTTTCAAGACTCGATTGGAAAAAGACCGGAGCAACTTGGTCTGATCCCATAGCTGGCCCTGCTTTGAGCAGGAGGTTGAACTGGAGACTTCCTGAGGTCCTTTCCAACCCCTTCTTCCTTGTTCTTAAGCAAAACACCATCATCCTTTGAGCAGTAGGGATTGGGACCCATTTTTTTTTTCCAGCCCCAGCACATTTAGAACACCACCATATTATACAACTTCATTCCTCCCGTTAGAAACTAAGTCTACAGCTTGGTAACCTACCACCTTTTGTTCCTGGAGAAACTACTTCAGAAATGCCAGGGCAGGCAGCATCTTTCTAAAGATTAGACCACAAGCTCTGAACCACTCTTTCAGCTTTGCATTTCCTTCTCATCCCCTTGTACTTCCTTCTGTGGCATCCTGGCAGTATAGGACAGCTCCCCTACCAGCCCAATAGCTTTCCTAGTTAACATCCCATCAAAAATTTAGTCAGACATATTTTAAAAATTGATTACAATAAAGTCAATAAACTCTTGTGACAAAATTTTATCTATGTCCAAGGCCTTTTCCACAGGAGTGAGACTCTGGAAAGCTTACTTAAACAGGCCCAGTGTCATCCCAATCTGCCTGTACCTCTGGATGTCTGATTTATCTGTGCCAACATCCTAGTCTTCATCCAGAGCACAGCAGTTCTCTGCAGCACAAGATAGAGTTGCTCGGTGCAAGCACAGTGAGTCCAGTGTGTCCAGTTTGCTGTATGTGAGCAGCGGTCTGTGGCCTGTTAGCCAACCTTGATTAGACCGCCTGCGTCCCTGGAAGATGGTGTTCTGTATAAACCCAGCACATCTTCTCCGTGCTCAGGAAATAACACAAAATGATCCTTGATAGATTTGACTTGCCCAGCATAACCCTTATTTTAATGCAACACAACTCTTATTTTTTATCTTGAAACGTATCACAGGAATAAGATGAAAGACTTTGTTACTGTTCTGCTAAGTTTTCAGGAAAGTTTTCTCACATCCAGTGAAGGCACAGCTTGTTATTTATATCCCACATCTTTCCTTTATTGAGCCTTCTGCATTGCCATCTTCTATATTCGTGCAGCACATGCCCTTTTACTATACAAGGTAAAAGATTCCATCTTCCACCTCTTACCATATCAATCCCCAATGGTGGTAACGGAAACAGAGATAATAAGCAGCACAATTGAGGGGACTGTGGTAAAATGTAGGTTTAAGGACTCTTGAGGAAGTAGTAGCCAAAGCTACTCCCCTGTGAAAGACCCAAAGAATCTGAACCTGAATACTTCAGACTGCCCAGAAATGGGCTCCATGCTGTGTCTGCACCAATACATTAAATGTGCCCAGGCAAAAGACTGGTTGGCATGGAGTATCTACTGTAAAACCTTCTTTGCCTCAAATCCAGAGTACTTACCTGTGAACTGCCTATGGGGAATGGTCAGTGGCTGATACTAATTCCTGAGCCATGCATGGGAAATTTTAGGTGCTAGTTGGCCTGGACAAAAATGAGTCAGTCAAGTTCCCGGGCAGCATTTAATTTACTAGTGTAGACATAGCCTAAAATTACTGTGGATGTAGGTAAAATTAGGTAACGTACTTCTTCTGTATGTATGCATCTATGTGAAGACAGGTGCAATTTAAGACCTCACGCAAATTGCTTTTTAGTGTTTTAGGCTCCCTTGTCCGCCTGGGTGACTGTCAGTGCACACAGTACATTAAGCTAAAGGGAATAACCCTATGCTCTCAAGCCAAACTGATTCCACCTGGGGACTAAAAGTAAATCTACTGAATTTTAATTCCTGTTGGGTCCTGCAGCAATTAACAGCATTAACAGCATTAACTGCTTACCTTTCCACCCATTGTCTCCTGGACCTGTCAGCTGATACCTAACGATCCTGCTGCAACTCTTTCTGTGTTTTTTTTTTTATTTTCCAGGGGAGAAGGAGGAAATAAGGGATATAATTTATCTTCAGAGAGAGTCAAAAATAAGTCTTTATACCACAAAAAATCTCAAGTTCTAGGTATATTTGCTTAGTATAAAATACGTCTCAAAACCCAGTTTACGTTCAACTGTATGCACAGAATGTTCTGAAAGGTCCCCAGAGTGATGGGTCTAGCAAGTAAAACAAACGGGCTATAATCTTGCCATGTTTTTCTGACATCGTTTGCTGATGCCAAATCATTTGGTTTTGACTAGAACATAGAAAACAATTCATAATCTGATTTTCAGTTTATCAGTAAGCAACATGGCTGGTTGGTTAAATAATTTGAAGAAAAAGCCTTGAGTGCATAGTTTCCTGAGGAGCATGCTGAATATACTGTATTTTCCTGTTTATGTCTTTTGTTATTTTAGCTGAACTTATCCTTGAATACTAGTCCTTGGATAACACAAACATTAAAGTCAGCAGAAGAGGGAATCTGGGGCAATGTGCTATTGGGTAAGGAAAGCAGTCTGTGAGGGATCAGAGGCAGTAAGTCCTAGCAGAAAGCAGCATTTGGAGTCCATTTTCCTTGCATGCAACTATATAATCCATGTTGCTGAGACAGAACACCTACAGATTTTAAGTATGAAAAGACAGTATTTGCAATTCAAAGTTTACCTGTATTCAGTGTTTTCCTTAGACATGCGGAATGAATTCTGGTGCTGCTGAAGTTAATATAAGTTTTGACATTGACTTCGAGAGGGCTAGGATTTTACAGTGGTCTTTTAACTAGTTCTTGCCTTGGTCTAAAATCAGATTTACAAAGGAAACATGTACATCTATGAAAACAGAACTTGGCCCTTTTTTCCATAATATTTACTGAAAAAAGCTGTTTCCACAGATATAACTGCATCTTGCCCTTGTATATTTATAGAAACAAAGAATGCATAACAAGGAATTTCAAAATAGCCAGCCTGAATAGAGCTAGCTAAGAAAACCTTTTGGTTAGTTGTTATGTCCACTAAAGCACTTTTCTAGTCGCTTGTTCTGAAGCAGCTTGTCCAAGCAGCGTAGCTAAACTACATCTCTGTCTTTTGGAACACAAGCGAAAAAACGGGAGTTTTGCTGAAAGAGAAACTTACAGTATGTCAGCTAAAATTTCAAGCTCTACTATTTACAAGCTGTCTATAAAAAGAAAGGCATCATATTTGTTGGTAATGTATTCTTCCAGTGTTCAGCTATGTTTCTTGTTTGTGTTCCTAGTTTCCGTGTATGTGTGGGATACCTCATTCGAAAACTATGATGCTGGATGGAAACTACAGTGAATCTGATGCCAACAGCCTGGCAGGTTATACGAGAAGCCAGGTGGTCCCAGAGGAAGAAAAACAAGAAAAGATGGTCGTGCACTTGACTATGAGCAGTGAATCTAATTCATCAAGGAAGAGAGGCCTGAAGGGCCATGTGGGCCTTCGCATCATCCAGAACACTCATGCAATTGATAAATACTCAAGATTAATATTTCCAGGCACCTATATATTTTTTAATTTGATATATTGGTCTGTCTTTAGCTAGGCATGCTGTGGCGGCAGTAACTGAAGCAGAAAACATCTACAAGCTCTTTTTTATTGGTTCTTTTAAAGTCCAGTTTGGATGGAAAGCTAGAAAACTGATTATTTTGCTACTTCTTTGAAGGGTGAAGGGGAGGACACAGCCTCCAGTGGGCAACTCCATGCACAGACATCATGGAGAAACCTGTCATGCTGGTTACTGTCCAACCCCTACCCCAGTTCCAGTTTGCTTTGTGGTACATGCTGTTTCTCATACTTGAAAATACGCACTCACCATTTGCCCAAAAGGTGCTGGACATACATATGGAGCTGGCAACACTGCTGGTGCTTGCTGTGCAATGGGAAACTGCAGACAACACTCACCTGGGCTGTCCTGATGGATTAGACTTGGTTTATGAACATCATATGTCTTTTCATTGGCTTATGAACAAGACTTCTTTGCAGCATGCAAATTCTGGTCTCTGGACAGGACTTGCATTGATGCCAATAGGACTATTGACTGGATGGGATCAACAGGGTTGGTTACAGAGTGCAGGTGACACATTTGAGTCTGTAGTAATTTTTTTCCAAATTAGAAGTAGGGAGTGATGATAAAGCAAAGCAGAGAAGCCCATGAACTCACAGAGAATGGCTTCCAGAGTTCATGGATAATCAAAAAAGGAAGTTTAGGCAGGTTTAGTTAGTGTTCACCCTTTAAGTGGAGCACAGCACATAGTATGTAGCACCTGCCCTCTAAAATAGGAGGGAAACCAGCGTGTGGCATGCAGTTATCACACAGGAATGGGCAGTGTCTCTGGGACCATCACTTTCTCTGTTCACAGCGGAAAGTAGAAAGCAGTGTTGAGGGCAGCACTGGTAGCTTTCCAGGGCATTCCTCATCCCTATGAGGAAAGTGCAGCCCACAGAGAAACTATATATCCCGATATACCTCTCCAAAGATACACATTGTCCTTCAGTTTAGTCATTTTGGATCAAGAGGGAGAGAGGCCTGCCAGAACCTGTCTCTGCAGACGTATAATCATTTCAGAAATTAAAGCAGCCAAAAATAATACTATGGGATTCAGTCAACCACAAGGTCAACATAAGTCCTGTGAAGCTGCTGGAGAATACTGTAGCAAGCTTATGTGCTTGGTGTTCTGTTATCCCCCCTTCCTTTGCTAATGATGCTGACAGCAAGACACAGGCGTATCTGTGTGATAGCGGCAAGACAGTGATAGCTGGATTTGCATGCTCTTTATTTTTAAATAAACACCATGGTTTTGTTGGGCTGTGGAGGAGATTATGTTCATTGAAACATTTGGTTACCAAGCTGAAACTCAGCCAGGTGGGAAGAGCTTGAAGCACCAAGACTCGATATGGAAGTTGGAGGCCAATTCAACAGTATGATTAGGTCATCTGACTAGTGTTTTGGACAGGAAGATTTGAATAAATCACAGAGGTAATGGTGCAGGCATTTAATCTCTAACAATACTCTCGCATATACCAAATGTAACATCCATCCCCCTTTACCCGAAAAGCAAACAGAAATACTAATAAGACTGTAACTATTGCTTGGGCTTTGAAATCTTCTGCTTACTGTAGCAGTAATACTTACATTTTAAATCTGAAGGAGGTTTAGAAGCAGGCTTGGAAGTGTCATCTTCAGAATACCTAGAATTTACCTATTGCCTCAAATATTGCTGCCTACGTTGAAGCCTATTTCAATGGTCACGCCAATTTAGTGGAAACGGAATTGATCATCACCCATGTTAATAACTGAAATAAACAGAGTTCTGCATCATCATAAAAGAAAAAAAAAACAGCCCTGAAATTGCTAGAGAGAGCAGAAGGGAAGCCATGAAAAGACAATATCTGAGGGAAGGCTTGTCCTATATGCCAGCCTGCCGTTTCTTTCCAGTGTCATCAGAGCAGTGTATTCACCACGCATCACCCTTCTCCACGTTGAAACCTGGATACCTCTCACGGTTACTGGCGGAGGTAAAAAGTTGCTATTGTAAAGAGGCAAGAAATATTAAAGAAATAGCCCGCCCGACTTTTGAGAGGTTAAAACCCCTACATAACAAAATGCATTCTTTAATTTTAGCCCTTTTAAAACAAAAAACGCTGCCGTGTTTCGGAGGCAAAAGCGAGCAAACTGAGAGGCCCGTTCTTAGGCTGTCGGACGTAAGCTGAAGGAAGGCACCTGAACGGTAAAGTTAAATCACTGAGACGGGAAGTAAGAAACTTGGATCCTACTCCTCATTTTGCCCGGCTTTCTACCTTACCCTCGGCATGCCGTTTGGCCTCTCGGTGCCTCAGCTTCGCCATCTGGGAAATGGGGAGCAATAATATTTACCTACCTCAGGAGTTGCCGGGAGGTTTAACTTACTAGCATATATGTGGAGCGCGGTTGTGATTTCTGAGCAGAAAACCTTGCAGGAGTCTGAAGTATTTTCTCTTAGTTACCAGTGGTTTCTTCAGATGTGTCCTCTGAATCAGTCTAGCTGGAAGAAATCAAAAAAATCTTGTTAGATATCCACATGCAAAAGATAAAATTGTTTCAGTTATATCAGCCATTTGGAAGAGTAGAGTTAACAGGCCACTTTTAATTTGGGGAGGGGGTGGTATCTAAATATACACCAATAGCCAAAAAGTAAATATTGTCTATAAATAATGCCTCCTGCCATACAAAAAAAGACCTAGTGCTTTACTCTTTTATTGCATCTCTTTTTCCCTTAAAACTTACGTGATGACAGAGACAGTTCTTTCTAGCCTATCATCTTTTGCACTAGTGCTACCTATAGTTTAAATGCTACTTAATAAACCAGTTTTGAAGAGGTTTCCCCCTTACCTTAGTCTTATTTTACATGCGTGTGTGCATAAGTGATAGAGATTGGTGTTTAATGAAATATCCATGTTTATTTCTACCGGACACAATTACACAGTCCATAAAATCTTCAAGGAGGGTATTTTTTTCTTAAAGGAAAAACAAGTCTCTATCCTGGGTACTGCTTATGCTCATTATTGGTTAAAACAATAGATAAAATGTATAGATGCAAATAAAACAAAGACATCTGCATCCTACAGCTTATCAGTTGTGTTTTCCTGCTTATTAAGAGGGGACTGGCTAGGCATGAAGCCAGAGCGAATAGCTGGAGTGTGATTATTGAGCATGCATTTCACCTTTCTTCTCTCCCGGGTTGGAAGAGGCTTCATTAGCACTGTTTAACTTCTGCTTGCAAGATCCAACCAATGTTTTAAGAACTGGTGCCTACAGTTAAGCTCCGAACACCATCGGATGGCTTCAGCCCAATTTGGTGAAACACTAAGCATCTGGAAAATTAACTTACCAATGGACAGGATTTTCGGAAGTGTATAAGAGATTTGGGTGTAGAAAGCCCATTGGTGAATGCGCCATCTCTGAATAACCTGATCCAACTGTCAAGAGAGAAAACGTCAGCCCAGCTCATTCTGGCTAGATTATACTTTTTTTACTTCTGTCTAACCAAATCACGTCTTTGAAAAAAAGCAACTATAAATATGTTTACATATGTATAATGTGCATGCATGTAACTTATAACAAAGGAAGACACTGGGACGTATACTTATGTTAAATAGAGTACATTTATGAAATTGTAGCATGTTGTATGTAAACTACCATTTATTATGCCCAAGAAAACCTATAGACTATGTTGGACTGAAGAAAGGCTTTGAACTGGCTGGTCAAGGGCTAAGAAACGGGGTGTTGGCAAGTTATTCCATAATTAAAAATTATGGGTTCTCTTAACCTTTTTATTCTGGAGAAGGCTGTGTTGAGAAACGTGCAAGGAAGGCTGATGCTAAATTGGCTGTACAGTTGCTGCAATCCACTGTGCTGATTTCTGTAATCAAATTTGGTAGTAAAAAAACAAATGGAAAGGCTGGAAATGGGCCCATTTCATTGTGTGAAGTTTAAAACATTACTTTTAATTATTACGTGGAGTGATGCTAACTAATAGTTAATGCCTACTGGTAAAGAATTTGAATAAACACCTCATTTGTAACTGAATTTAAATAAAAACCAGTCTCAAAAGACAGAAGAAATTCAGTGGAAGCATGCAAGTACTTTTAAGTATGCAAAGCTCCTTGGCAAAACTGAGCCATTAATTATAGCTGTAAGCGGCAGAGATCTTTTGTAAAAACTGCAACCCACAATGGAAGAAATTTTAATAATTACTCTAAATTTAAGAGGACATTTTCAAAAGCCCAAATGGCAGGTAGATTTCTGAGTCTCCATTTGACTATAAATAAGAACTGGTCATTTAATTCCTCCTCTGAGCCTCTGAAAAGATTGCCTCCGCAATCACTAACGGAAAATAAAACTGCTCTTAGATCCTAGCTGCCAGATCTTAGCTATTATGCCTCATGCAGATAATAAGACTAAAAAGAAATGCACATAAACTAGATTGATACCAGGACTATTGAAGAATGGCTCTTGTCTGCCAAGTTTCCACAATGAAAAGATTACAGTAAGGCATGAGGTAGGTGAGATACTGCCCTGCTAAAATTTAAAGTGAAAAATGTATTTAAAAATAACCAGACTTTAGCACTATTCAAATTAAAATACAATCCAGTCTCACACTAAGCTGATAACTTCCTTTACAAAAATGATATTTGAAATACAGTGTCAGAGTCAGTACTTCCCTGGGTAGAGGAATTGCCATTTCAGATGAAGCAAGGATGATGGAGAGAGAAACCACAGATGAGAAGGGCAGGGGGCTGCTCTTCAGGTCCAGCTTTTGCAGAGGTGCAGGAGTGACCACTGGGCTCACTCAGAGCTTGGTGTAGGGGTTGAGGCTCAGGGGACCAGAGATACATTTTTCTGATTGCAGTGAGGTTGCTGGGGCCATCCTGGCACATCCTGTGGGTGCTGCTGCTGTGGTGAGCATCGGGGTGCCTCTGAGGCATTTCTGTCCAATGTTTTGCCTTTGCTTGCTGCCTTTGCTCAGGCCCTTCTCCACACCCCACCAAGAGCCAGCGCCATATATTCCTGCAAAAGCATCCTTTGGCTGCCAGGCCCCTGGCTCCCAGAAGACACTCAGCTTTGAGGTGAGCATTTGCAGGAGTGGGGCTGGGCACCCTGCTGGGGCCTGAGGTGGAGACACCATGAAAGACACCTTTTGCACCCCTAGACAGCCACACAATTTTCTTCAAATAAACTGTGCCCTTATGCCGACAGCTTTTGACGTTAGCCTGCATTGTGCCCATAAAAAAGGCTACATCTCACCTTGTACATCAGCCTGCAAATTGAGCCTGGGGGCAATGCAAGGCAGCCCTTCACCATCCCATCTTGGGACCATGTCCTGCTCCTTGGAGGTGGTCTTTTATGAGCCAGCGAGGTATGGACAGACTAGTTTTCTTTCCTCAACGCCATCCCCACCCCCCAGCACACTGGCCCAAGTAGGAGGGAGTCTAAAAGATCACAGGAGAGAAGTTTTGGGGTGAGGCGTGACCGGCAGAGATGCAGGGAGCTGCTCACACTGTCCCGGTGTTGGACAGGCCATGGGTGCAGCATAATGCTGAGGCAAGTAACCTCTTCCTTTCCACCCTCTTTCCCCTCGGCTCTCTTCCACCCCAGAAACAATTTGCTTTTGTGGTGCTGTTTTGCTGGGCTTCCATGAGGGACTCTACCGCATGGGCGCAGCTGGCCTCATGCCTGTCATGCTGGGCTGCCTATGAAGCAGAAAAGGACATTAATTCACCATGCAAGCAATGCCATGGCAACCCCAACTCCACCGTGGTGGCTCCTTGGGAGCCGTTCTCTGCAGCTCATTAGCATCCCCAAAGTGCAGTGTAGTGCAACAAGGCTAGGGTGAAAACAGAGTCGTCCCCGGCTCGGGGAGCAGGATTGCAGCTAATGAGCAACATCTGGGGTGGAAGCAAGCCCACTGTGCCTGGCGACAATAACTGCCATGGGCACTGTTTCAGCTGGAAGTTTTGGATCGCTTCTGGCCCTGTGCAGCCGAACCAATGGTTAATTGTTCTTTAATGAGAGTTTGACATGGGAGCTGCTGGCATCCTGGAAGATCCTGAGCAGGGGAGTGGTGGAGGCTGCAGACATGCGGTCTGCCATGCTGTAGCTGCTGGAGACCCAGGTGGAGAAACCCCTGAGAGAAGTCTCTCTGGAGTGACAGAAAGCACAGCGAGCCCTGGACAGCCCTAAGGTTTCCCTCCAGCCCCCTGGCATGTCCTGCATGCCTCTGGAGAGCCACAGACCACTTTGTCTGCAGGTCATGAAGACTATTCCCCACCCTCCCTTTGCAAGGGATGCATGAAATTGGACGTCCCTGCCTCTCAGAGTAAGCAGCAAAGTCATTAACAGACTATCGGAAGACCAATTGTTAAAATGTCATGCCTTTGAGAAAATATAGAAGACTTGTCTCAGCCAGTTTTCCAAACTGAATCTCTCCCCTGAGTCTTTAGGGGGCTCCAAGTGTTGATCCGTGCACTCGGAACCATAGAAATTAGTTTAGGAAAAGTGCTTGAGAACTCAGTCCGTGGAAAATGCATATAAATGATGTGGAAAAGGAAAAAGATCTTACTGCTCTACTTGTCACACAGATTTATAGAAGAAAATTGCATGTTTAGCTTAGAGGGAATTCAGAGGGGAAAATGAGAGAACAAGTTAATTGTAATGACAGTTTGAGTTAGTTGAACAAATATATTTTGGGAAATGGGACAGATCATTAAAGTTGTAAAACAATCTAGCCTCCTGGCTCTTTGCATTTTTTCTGGATTTTTAGTAGGGTCCAAATTCATTTTGAGCAATAAATTTTAAACCTTTTCCAGTAAAGTGCATAATGACCACAATTTTGTCAGGTACAGTTGGGAGGAGACCTTCAATGCTGCACATGGATTGCAATTACAGTAGCCTCCAGGTAAAAATATCGCTTCTTTTTCATTTATAGTTTCAGAACAGCTGCCATTCCACAAAATGGTAAAGGCATAATTATTGAGCCATTAGGTAGAAGGATAAAACACTCTCCAATCAGTTGGACAACAGAAAGACCATATAACTTGCAACAGATAACAGCCTTGGCATTTAGCACATACTGAGAGGTTCTCAGACTAGGGGCTGAGGAGGACTTTATAAGAGTGTATGCAGAGGAAAGGAAACTCCTACTTGGACCAGATCTGGAGACCTAAGCCATCTCAGCGCGGTCATCCCACAGCCACATCCATGACACTGATGCACACTGCCACCCTGAGGAAGGTGACAATGGACATATCCTCCGTGCTTGGGCCTCGGTGGTGGAATAGTCTTTTCTGGGTTGGCATTTGCCTGCCCCAACGGCTCTCTGATCCGATCAACGTTTTGTGCTGAACGAAATGCTTCTCTTCCTTGTGGAGTGAATAGTCTGTATGATTTTTATCCATGAAGGACAGTGGACACTGGTCTGCAGAAGCGACTGCCATTTGCATGGTTTCTCGGTCAGATATCTGCCATGTCAGACCTCCCAGAGATGGTCCAGCAGGGGAGAAGAAGGAGGAGAACAGCCGTTGCTCAAAGCGCTGGCTTGTTTGGAAAGGACCTGGTGTAGAGATACAGCAAGCAGAGGAAAGGATTGAGCTGCTGGCCCTGCTCATTAATTTGGGTCCAGTGATGTGCCCTGCACTCTCAGGTGCTCTTTGCTCTGGCTGACAGTTTGTGAAAATTGCCCAACTGCCCAGAGCCCTCCCCAAAACTGATACAGAATCAGATTGTGTACAAGCTCTATGGATGTCATTCGTCATCTCATTAATGTGTTCAGAAATTACTGCTAGGCAGGAAAGGAGAGACACGGACCGTGTGCCAGCAGCACTGCTTTTTTCATGAGCTTCAGAGGGTGACGCTTGTCCCTGACCCTGAGCTGTCTATGGCTGCTGGGAGGCCATGGCAATCACTGTACCCCCGTGCTGGTGTTAATGAGGTTTGTAAAGCTCATGGGCAAGAATACCCGTGTGCGAAATGGGGGAATTTAGCAAACCCAACTGTCAAGCATGGAAACCTGGCTTTTCCTCAGTGCTACAGCACCACGACCTCCAGCAGCTGGGCAAGGAGCAGGCGAGTGGCAATGCCACCAGCAGCATGCCCTTTCCTGGCTCGCCCTCCTGCAGAAAGGCTCTTCCTGAATCTTTTTTGCCCTCAGAGTCATTGCAGTGCTGGAGGCGGGGAATGACTCCTTCCCCCTTATGCTTGGACTCCCCAGTATGATTAGCATAACGACAGGGGACTGAAATGTGAAAGAGCAGCCTCTGTATTCTCTCCACACAGCCCAGGGAAGAAATGTTTTAATTAAATTCCTTAGAAAAGGAAAAAAAAGGGAAAGGAAAAGAGGCAAGACGAGGGAAAAAATCCCAACCAAATGAAAGTAAGCATTTTTGTGATGACGCCAAAAGCAGTATTTTGCCAAGCCGTTAGCTGTTCCTCACTTTTCTAGCTTTTCTTTGCTCACGGCTATAATGTTTGTGCTTTCTCTTCCTTAGTCCTCTGGGCGCTGACGTAAACAATACAGCATGTCAATATTCTTCCCACGTCCCAGCTGGTGGCAAAAGCCATCAAAATTTTCTGCTCCAATGCAAAACACCTTTGTGTTGGTGCTCTGCCAGTGGAAGAAATCACTGAGGCTGTTTTCCAGGTATAAACCTTGTCTGTAAGGCCATTTCCTTACTGTATGAATCCGATAAACCGATTAGTTTAACAATCTGTAACAGGTTAATTGGAAGGCGGTAAAACAGCCTGTTACAAATAGAAAAAAATATTCTATCTGGTGTCACACAAGGAGGAAACAGCCTCAGAATGAAGTCTGAGGCTTCAACTCACTTCAGGTATCAAGGAATGTCATATAGGCGCATTGCAGTGCCAGATGCTGGGACTATCTTCCTGGGCTGGTGAGGAATTTAGGCAGGTAGTCACTGAGCTTTTCATCCACTGACCAAGCGAAAAGCCATAAGAGAGGCCTGGCTTAGCTGGCTGTC